TGCCACCATGCCTGGCTAATTTTTTTGTATTTTTAATAGAGACAGGGTTTCACTATGTTAGCCAGGATGGTCTCGATCTCCTGACCTCGTGATCCTCCCACCTCAGTCTCCCAAAGTGCTGGGATTATAGGCGTGAGCCACAGTGCCCAGCCTGGAAATAAATTATTTTAAACTCCCTCAGTACATACTCTCTTTTTTTCTGCATTTAAAAATGTATTACATGTTGGATTTCAAAGACAAAATCAAAGAAAAACAGCACTGCCCAAAATAGGAAGGCATTTAAAAGATAAGCTTTTTTAGGCCAGGCACAATGGCTCATTCCTGTAATCCCAGCACTTGATGAGGCCAAGGCGGGCAGATCATGAGGTCAGGAGTTTGAGACCAGACTGACCAACATGGTGAAACCCTGTCTCTACTAAAAACACAAAACTTACCTGGGTGTGGTGGCATGCACCTGTAATCCCAGCTACTCAGGAGGCTGAGGCAGGAGAATCGCTTGAACCCAGGAGGAAAAGGTTGCAGTGAGCCAAGATCATGCCACTGCAGTCTACCCTGGGTGACAAAGTGAGACTCCTTCTAAAAAAAAAAAAAAAAAAAAAAAGAAGAGAGAACCTCTTTATGTAACTATAGTGAATTTTTAAAAATAGCAAAGTATTTGAAAATAGTGCACCTAATTTAATAGATGGCCATTTAATAGGTTGAAATTATTGTAAATGTTCAGTAAATTTATGGTTGTAGACAAAATTATTGGAAATATTTAGTTTAGAAATGATTACTTCACATCATTTGGATTGAGAAATTTTTCTAAAAGGTTTTGTCACTGTGGAGATGTTCTAGTTTGTCATCTGTAAACTTGGTAAGCATTTAGTTTTTATAGGAGATTTCTATTCTGATCTTTGTATCACTGAGGCCCTCTTACTAGGTTCTTACTAGGCTTCTTTTTTGAAAAGTATTTCTCCTTCCCCCAAAGGAAACATTCTAAGACTCAATGAGCCCTCACACTATGGTTAGCTTCTAATTATGTTCAAATTCTAATATACACTTAGAATCTTCATGCTTCTGTTTCATTGTGTCAGAAACCTTGTTAACATAGTGCTTGTTTCTATGAGACATAGACATATTTAATTCAACTGCAATTAAATCTGGTAACAGTACCAAGTGTATGCCTGTTGTAAATGGTGGTAAGTGAGAACATTAGCCAATCAGCAGAATTTCAGATAGATATCAAATACCCTTGGTGCAAACTGCATTTGTGGATAAAGAGGCCCCATGTGTTTGTCTTTTTTAAATTGATTACAGATGATCATTTCTATTTGCACGTGAGATATGTGTTCAGTTGAAACATAACAATAGTTAAAACATTATTACATTGGCAAGGGAAGAATTCTTAGTTTGCACAAAATTTTCATAAAAGCTCACATCATATTCTCATGAACTTGCTATATTACCAAATATGTTTGATGAAAATGATTTTATACATGCATTAATATCTATATATGCAGATATGTAGATATACAGTCATGTGCCACATAATGATGGTTCAGTCAAGGATGGATGTCTGTATGACAGTGGTCCCATAAGATTATAATACTGTATTTTTACTGTATCTTTTCTATGTTTGGATATACAAAATACAATTGTGTCACAGTTGCCTATAGTATTGAATAGAATAACATGCTGTACAGGTTTGTAGCCTAGGCACAACAGTACTATATCATAGCCTGGGTGTGTAGTAGGCTATACCATGTAGGTTTGTATAAGCACACTATATGATACACAATAATGAAATCACACCCATCTTGCTTTTTATATTAAATAGTTTGCAACTTGATGGTATCTTTTAAATTTTAAAATATTTGTTGTAAAATAATTTACCAGAAGTGATTACATGGTGCTTATGAGTTTATTCAGTATAATTTATGTGTCTTTTATTTCATCATAATTTATGAAAATATTTTATTTTGTATGATGGAATGAACAAAAAACACTGTACTTGTTTTTGTTTTTACAAAGAAATTCTTTATATTTTCTGTCTAAAACAAAGATCCAGCCATAATTGTGATAGTACCTGGGCACCTAAAAGAGGGAATACTGTTACTATCCTTAATCAGTCTTAACAGGTTATTGATTAGATGAAAAGTTGAGTTTATTAGTTATAGAAGAGTCTGGTAACTGGTTATTGGATAAATGAAAAAGAAAGAGTTCTCATTAGAACCCTTCATTAACTGCACTAAAAAGTAGAATATTTGACTGTGGCATGGTAATGAGAAATATGGGAGAAATAGAGGGGATGCTCTTAGCTTCTTTCAAGGTTCACCGAAGTCTGCTAGTCATTATAATACTATATGCAAAATAAGTACTTGTCGCATATTATCATTTGCCTAAGACATGGCTGCTTAAGTAAGGTAGTTGACTCTATGTTTCTCTTTTAAAATGAGGCTGTTTAAATGCAATAGTACATAATAAAACTATAACCACAGGAAATCCAAAAAACCAAAAATATTTTAAATGTATATGATACAACTATATTTATATATTGAGATTTTATGTATTACATTAATTTTTATTTGCTAAAGTTATATTTTTATGTAAGCTTAGTTATGGACTCATTAATGGATCATATTCAGATAAACTATGGCAAATGACTTAATTGATACTTTTAGTTAGTAGTGAAATCATTTTCAAAATATTTCATTTTCATCCCCTTATTAGTCATATAAATTTTGTACTTCCTGAAAAAAAGTTTTTTATTGACTCTAAGATAAGTTTTGCCATATTCCTTACAAGAATGAAAGCATTGGTGAATTACTTGACAGTTGCAGAATGTGCCACTTTGAAAAAAATGTTTCTAATTAAATACTGTATAATAAAATGTCCAGTTCAGGCGTCACCATGAGAGAATTATTTTTTCTTCTTTGACTTTGTATTTTACATGTTTTCATTGGGTCATATAGTATCTAGTACAAAGAAAATTGACCTGGTAATCAGGAGACCCCTGTTCTATTTCTGGCTCTGCAACTGAACTTGTTTTATATCATTGGGTAAGTCACTGGAACTATGTGTGCCTCTGTTACTCACTAAAATTAATTAATGAGTGAATTGAGAATAATTTTTCATATTTGGATCCACGTAATATGAAAACTATTGGATTGATAACACATAAAGTAATCCAAAATACAGGAAAATACTAGGTGAAGAAAGAAGCTTCATTTATTTGTGTAGTTTTTAATACTTTCTGCAAACAATAAAATCTTTTCTTAGAGATGGAATATATGGAAACCATTATTTCATCCACTTCATACCAATTTCATTTTAACATTTGAGGAACCTCTTTTAGTAGTGTGGAAAATGTATATCTAGGGAAATTTTGTGTTTAAAAACACGATGCAACATATGAAAGTCAGCATTAGCCTAGGTTATTAATAAACTGTGATTGTCCTACCTTATTCTTCTTTGAGAAGCAGGTGGATTGATGATGGAAACAAAAATATAGCATGTATCATTTTAATGTGTATTAGTACATTTCAGAAGAATATGAAGATTTTTTTTCTAGTGGTTAATCCTGTTAGCAGTATGGTTTGTAATTTGTGATGAGATTTAATGTCTTATTTTCAACAGGTGAAAAAATATGTTCATATAATAATGAAAATGATATTAAATTTCAAAATGTCATTTCTTTTCCGGTTTTCTATAATTCATACTAAGATTTCTGGTTTTTTTCTAAGAAAAATTATTTTGGTCATCTTAGCTAGTACTAATGGACTTAGTCTAATGGAAAGTTTTTATTTTATCACTATTCATATAAAGAGACAAATTTGTTATAGGAAATCGTTCTCTAAAGAGCTATAATTTTAATATGTTGATATTGCAAGTATATTTTGATGCAATATGCTTTGCTATATACATCACTCAAAAAGAATGATGCAACTATTGCAGAACTTAAATGTGGTGTTTGATTTTAGAATTTGTAGTAGCTGATTCAGCGCTAAGTGTGTAAATTAAAATAGAAAATTTTGGTTTTGTGGCATATTGTTCATCTGTGTCAATCATACTAATATCTTTGGAAGAAATTTTTTCTTAGAATTCTGATTTTAACAGACATTTTTCTGTTTTGAAGTCACTGTATAAAATGTTATTTGAACTTCTTCACTAGCACCGAGGGAAAAAGTATTTCCAAAACATGTGTCATATCTGTTATAGTTGATGGATTTGGATGGATACATTTTAGCATAAATTTTAATAATCTATAAAGTGGCATTTGTAAGAATCTGTTGAATGAATAGGATTAAAAGGGAATATGATCAAAGAAAATCTGTCTACATTGAAGTTTAGTTTGGATTTTTAATGCTGAAATGAAGCCATATATTTCAGCTACTCTTCTAATAAAGACCTGTACTATAATTATTACTTCATAAAATTTTTATGATATTTTGCTGTATTGAAATAATTCAATTAAATATTAGCCTGATGACCATTCTTTGTTTTTGTGTGCACACTGGTTTACCTGGGAAGCATAAAAGGAATAGAAATCTGTTGAAACTATTTTTATTGCTCTTTTTGGTGATGACTCAATTAAATCTTTTCTTCAGACAATTAAAAGTTCGAAAGCATTGTAACAGACTTTAAATTAACTCAGTAATGTCTTGAACAATGTGGTCATACAACTAACACTGTTTTTACTAATGGTATCTTTCTTCAGCATTGGTGTTCAGGATTTGCTGTACGTAAATAATTGTAAACTTTTGGATCCTCTTTATTTCTACACTAACTTTATTTTTCTAAATCTGCTAACCTATAGTAGCAAAATCAACTTGCCATTAGTTCTTATGTATTTTTTTTGTGGAATGCATTTGATTATATCTTCCCTAAAACTGTACACAGGATTCTTTCTCAAAATGATTTGAGGCCCTTTCCATCAGTGTCACTTTTTACCTTTTGAGTACATCCACTCACTCCCATCTCCTTTGTCTATGTCTGTCCATTACACGATGTGATCACAGAAGAACTGGACTCTACGAGGAGAAGATATGCAGGTCTGTCTCTTCTGCTTTTTTTGTTATTATTTTATTTATCTAACTTTTCCTAGAAATGTTTAATCATTTTTTATTCATTTCATAATTTTTCATTCCTTTGTAATATAACAAAATATTAAATCTTATGAGTATTTTAATTTAGGCATTTTTATATTCAACTATCAACAGCAACTGCTCCAATTAGATGGATAAAAGTAAAATAATTAATTTTTTAATATGTATATATATAATTTTTCCATAAACTGAATAAAGGCAAATGGAATGTGTGTGTATGTGTATGCTTAGGTACACACACACACACAGAGATATATATGTTTGGTTTCAAGCATTTTAGACTTAAAACTAGTTTCTGGTTTTTTAAAATAATTTCAAAAGTATTTGATTCCTAACATGAGTTCATCAGTGTTCTACACTGTGGAGAATACCAAAGACCTAATACCCTAAAAAAGCTATCAATATCACTGAAGAGTTAAGAGATGTGGATAACATGCTCTGTTTATGTGTCAGTGCAGCTTATTCTGACAATATATTCTACAGAAATATAAACTGAAATAAAGCTTATTTCAACTAGACAGTCAGAAAAAGTGTCTTAGAAGAGGTAACACTTGAGCTGAAACTTGAGCATTCATTAAACACATTTGGTACTGTTCTAGGTGCTGGAAGTAACAGGAGACACACAATAGCTCCCTATCCTTGCAGGTGTTTCCTAGTGTGGGTGTATGTATGTGTGTGTGTGTATATATATCCTTGCAGGTGTTTCCTAGTGTGAGTGTATGTATGTGTGTGTGTGTATATATATTATGTATGTACATATATATGCACATATATATAAAATATAATGGAATCAGAAAAGATGGTATGATTCCTTTCCCCTGGGAAGGATAGATATTAGTTCAAGAAAGACTTCGTAGAAGAATTTGGTTGAATATTAAAAGCTAGAACACTGTTAGCCTCTTGTGTCGAGAGCATTTCAGGCAGAGGAAACAGTATGGCCAATAGCTTCACACAAGTTTAGGCAAAAGTAGGCAGAGACCAGATTTATAAAGATTGTGTAAGTTACTGAAACATATAAAGCAACAGAATAGGTAGATATTTGTTTCTAAAAGATTACTTTGGCAGTTATGTAAAAGATGGACTGCAGCAATATAAGCAGAAAGATCATATATGGAGATAGTGTAATGAATCAGTTAAGAAATGATAATGGTCTGAATTAAGGTATCAGTAGAGGCAATCAATACATGAGAAGTTATGTAAAGATGTAGAACCTACAAGTCCTGGTCACTGATCAGACTGGATATTATTGATGCAGGAAGAAGAGGAATAGAATGATTTCAGGTGACTGAAATGTTTGATGGTACATTTTATTAGGATAGGGAATATATGTTGTACAAGTTTCAGGGGAAAGACAGAATTCACTTTTAGAAATATTCACGTATAAATATCTTGTAGAGATGATTGGTTGTCTGGAATTCAGGAGAGAAGTCTGTGTTAGAGACATAGACTAGGGTAGCATATCAGCATTCAAGTGATGCCATTGGAATTAATGGAATTGTCAGTAGTATATGAAGAGTAAGAGAGACAAGAATCAAAATTTGGGGATCACCAGCACTTATTTACATTTAAGGAATGGATGAAAGAACAAAAGCCAGAAAACTATGTTGAAAATGATTAAAGACAGTAGGATATTCATGAAAGAAGAGAATTTAAAAAAATCTATGATAGAAGTGAATCTTAAGAAAGGGGTATAAGCAGCAGAGACAAATTCTAGAGAAGACAAATATGTTGTTAAATGGTAGAACTAGTCAATAATGATCTTTGCCTTATTGATTCAGTAAAGTTGTGGGTAGAAACCAAATAGAAGGGAAAGGAGATGGGAAAGAAAAAAATGAAAGTAGTTAATATAAAATAGGCTTCTTGATGGCTTGGGGAAATTTTAAAGTTAAGAATACCATGGGAAATGAGACAGGGAGCTCACCAAGGATATCCTGAAGAATGGTTATAGTTTAGCTGAGTGGAGACCTTAAATTTGTGATGGCATTGGTTCTCTAAGATTGTGTAATGATTGGCTCATTAGTACACTTTGGATGTAGTAATTAATCATTTGGATCACAGTTGGAACTTTGTGGGCAGTTATATAGAAAGTAGAGGAGAATAGGGATATTTAGGGTGGCTGGCAAGGGAAGTAGTTGAAGTGATGTTCAAATGGATTGGGAAGGATGTTGTGTTAAATCATGTTTTCATGTAAAATCATGCAGAATTTTTGATGAATTGGGAGAGAAGGTCTTAATGAAAGAAATGAAATTTGTGGTGATACCTAAGGCAATAGAAGCAAGCTAAGCAGGTTATTATGAGAGACAATTTAATTATCTTTAGAATTTTCAGATGTTGGACAATTCCAAATAATGTGAAGATAAAATGTTTGTTTTGAGGAGTGAGTTTCCAAGATGGAGCATGGATTACAGTTTGGGAATGCAAATAAAGCAACAAATTTTGATGCTAGCATTTTTATACAGACATTGAAATTATTGGGGGCCTCAGCTTGATAGATACGTGAAGGAAATTGCCTGGAATATAGATGGTAGCAACAAGGAAGAATAATGGTATGAACATAAAAGTCATAGACTTCACATAGATTAGAAAAGTAAACATGTGGAAGCAGCAATTCATACGAAGAAGAATGCTGATGCCATTTCCGAGCTTCTATAGTATATATGTAAGTTAAAGGATTTTGAGCAGCTTCCCCTCAGAATGTTTCTGAGGGAGATAGTATTCTTGAAGGGTCAACATTCCATTCATGATACGAAGGGAAATGAACTTTCTCTGATGAAGTTGAGGGATATATTGTATTTAAGTAAAAGGAACAGGGTTTTAGACCACAGTAGAAAAGATTAGGAGGTCTCTAAGCAATGCAGAAAGAATTAGAGAAAGAAGCTCAGGATAGTAGGGTTTTGACATACCAACTGGAAAATGTTAAGAATGAGTGCTGGTTGGAAGGAATGAACCATGTAATTTAGTAGTAGCAAAACAAGGAGAATAATAAGGAATTTAAGCTTTGAGGGGGAAGAAAATTCAGAGGTACAACTTAAAGGTTGAGCAAAGGAATCTTTATGATATGCATAAAGGCAGAGGAAAAGGACTTGGTTGAGAGAATTTGAAGACTCCAAAGAGGAGAAGATTAATAATGGAAGCAACTTTTCTTACAAAAAAAAAAAAAAAAAAAAATGGTATCTAGGATGTGTGTTGAATGTTTAAATTTATGGAAGCAAAAATGTTTTATTGTCTTCAAATATTAAGTTCTAAATTAATTATCATAGTAACTAAACATAATTTGAAGTCTTTCTTAACATACACTTTTAAAATTGTAATGGTAGCTATAGATCTATAACACCCATTTTCCTCCTAGTATGATGAAGTTGAAGCCTGAGCTTTCTGGATTTCTGTTACAGACCCCTAATACTGTAAGGGAGACATGGTCTATATAACCAGCATTGTATTTGGGATTCTACAAACTCACATAAGCCTAGAGATAAATAAAGACTAATGCATTCTCTTCCAAAGTAAGAGTAAAGTGAGAATAATACAGAGGATAGGAAAACATTCAGAGAAAAAGGAAATCATTTTAGAAGAGGAAGCAGTAAATTTTGTGACAAGCAATTCAGAATATATTTCACCTGTTTAATAAAAGCAAACTAAAGTTAAGGCTTTTCAAAAACTGACTGTAGTATGTGGCCAATAAAAGGTAATATCTTTATTATTCTGTCACTCACATCTCTAATGAATATGCAAGTTGGTTATCATTCTTTATAAATTTTAGCCCAAAATATGATGGAGAAATAATTTCACAAGTCCAATTACTTCACTAACATATTTGGTCAAAGAATATGTTTTATGTTTTAAACCACAATTATAAGACCTTCAATTGCATTACAAGGTCCAATTACAATCACTACATCATTCTACACAATAAATGGAGGAATTGATTACACATCTGAAAGCAACAAAAAAATGTTGACTTAGCACTTGCAAATCATAATGAAGTTTCTTTTAAATGAGAAGTAGCATGCTTTATTAGGGTGTATTACACCTTTTCTTACTCATATGAAATTTCATATCACAATTTTTTAAAATCATTGTTAAACAAGTCTAATACAAAATAATTTTTTAAAATACTATTTGTTAAGTTACATAAACTAATATCTTAAGTTTCAACTACAAAAATTTTTAGAATTACTTCCAGACCTGATTTAGAGCATTTGACAAGATTGGTGCTTGTATAATATACATTTTACTCATAAGCAGATCTCAGCTTAAAAAATGTTTTGTCAGCTGTGTTTCTCACCAGTCTCTTAGATCAATTATTATTATTGTGATATTTATTTTTGTTATGTTATTATGTTAATAATTATTAAATTATTATTATAGTTGGATCTGTGCTACCTTAAGAGTTTGAGAAAATACGTTATAAATTACTATTTCAGACTGATCCATTTGTCTTCCAGATATTAATGTTAATTTGAAAAGCTTAACAATTCAAATGGAATAGATTTCAAACATTTCTTAATAAAAATACAGTTGGGAATAAGTAACATATATTTTGTGTTGTAATCATAATGTTTAGTAAAATAATCACTTCCTGTTAGGGTTAGCTAAGTGAAACTTCTAAAAATTAATACAATTACAGTACTCTTTTCTGTTTTGGTTCTCTGATTATTCTGAATGTTGCCCATTGGTATGTATTATCTTAGTCCATTCAGACTGCTGTAACAAAATGTCATAAGCTAGGTGGCTTATAATGCACAAAAATTTATTTCTTACTGTTCTGGGGACTGGAAAGTCTAAGTAAGATCAAGGCGCCAACAAATTTAGTGTCTGGCTAGGGCCTGCTTTCTGGTTCATTGACCGCCATCTTTTTTTCTCTTTGTCTTAATATGGTAGAAAGGGCAATGGATCTCTGTTGGCTTCTTTCATTATGGCACAAATCCCACAACACCCACATGACC